ATGATTACGCCTATTTTTTACAAGGGAAAATAGACTGAAAAAAATTTCAATTAGTACATTTGTTCCATTATAGAAATACGATCTCAGTGACGCCAGATGGACTGACCAAAAAAATGAAAGCTGTTTKTATTTCGATTTTTGRCTATCAGCGATGATGTATTTCTGCGAATTAAAGTAGACTAAAGCATATCAATTTAGACAATGCATTTTAATTTTATTTGTTTAGCTTCCACCCTAAGCAAGCATTTTCAGCACTACAATAACAAGAAAAACTTTGACATCATAACAAAACAAAAACAAAAAAAACACGATGTGCACGCGAAAAATGAAATAACTTCAATTGTTTACGTACCTTGTGTTGTATAACAACCAGCGCAGCGCATGTCTTTATGTACTACATAAATGCTGATGATGATTTATTCATCAGTATCTATGACATTTTGACTGATTTTTAACCTATAAGAGATCGTATCGTACTGTCCATATTATCGAGGTGTCCGTAATAGCGAGGTTTCCGTAAGGCGAGAGTTGACTGTAGATAGATAGTTTTATTTATCCACGGAATATCCCAATCAGTTAAAAATAATAACAATAATTATAAACTATATGGTAAACAACAATGATAAGATATAAACTATTATACATAGACTATAAATATGATAATTTAATTTTAACGAAAAACATGTTTTCCGTGGGAGCCGTGCAAATAAAAGTTGATACATTATTAAGACCCATGGTATGTAAGGACACCTACTTTACGGAAAGCCTTAGTGGACACTCTGTATTACGAACCTCTAAAAGGATATTTCCCATTGTACAGGGACCTCTATATTACGGGAGATTGCACAACAAATATTGTTAAATAAAATCAGTTCCAATGATAAAATGTATAAAATATTTAGTGAAAAAACAAAACGCAGTGGAAAATCAATATCAATACGCTCTTTCTCTTCTTTTCCGACAACCTAAGAGATTTCAGGAAATGCAAATTTCCAGAAACTCCAAATTGTCACCCTTAAAGGATTTCAAATCACGAATTTTTACCCCTAAGAGATCCGACGAGTATTCCCGGTACTTTTACACTCGGATTCCCCCCTCTCCCCCCGCCCCCGGATTGCAGATGGACCTGACTTTACGCAAAAGATCATGTTTCCGTTGCGTGCAGGTCATCAAGTAGAGACTGATGAATTGATAAGCACCATGGGTGGGCAACATCACTAAACAGTCGACGCATTGGTCGAGTTTGTGGTTTGGCATCAGTACAAGCGAACCACCTAATCGTTGAGGATTTCCGTAACTGTGTTTATTGATTGAAGGTCATGGAAGTTCCTCATCAAACGCAGCGTTCCAAGGAGACTGTTTAACGGAGTTGTTTGCTTCTGTCCCTTAAAGGGACCCTCTACTTCTCAGCAAGTTGAAATTATATTATGTAGAATTTAACGCTGATTTCGAAAATCGTATTAAAAATTTCGAGAAATAATTAGTAAGCTAATTAAAGCGATTTTAATCTCATCAAAAAATCGGTTTGGGCACCCTGTGCTGTTGTGACGTCATATCGTGACGTCAGGTCGTGGTCGTGGTTTGTTTTGACAAGAAGGAAACCTATAATCGTGTCCTTTTCCCGGGCTTTTTATTTCTTTAATTATGGCTATGCATTTTCAATTCGAGCTCGAATATGACAACAGTGAGTTAACAGATCAATAAGACAGCTTTGATCACGAAAAAGAATCGAGTGAAGAATATAATATGG